GCGGCATCAACAGCACCAGCACTACGGTGCACCCCAGGCGACCTCTTCCGCTTCCTCTCCCTCTTCAGCTCCAGGCGACGCTCTACCTCCAGCCGGCGATTCCCCTCTGCATCTCNGCAAGTGAGCAACGTACCACACTATCCTTCTGCTGCTGAACCGGACGCCCAACAACCGCGAGCCTACGAGGCCTTNTGCTCGCGGCTCACGGGGTGGACCATGGCGGAGGTCCCTACGGCAGCGCCGCCGGCGGGGGATACGGTTTCCACCAATTGCCCGACGGCGGAGGGCTCTACCAGCAGCAGCAAGTGAGCAACGTACCACACTATCCTTCTGCTGCTGAACCGGACGCCCAACAACCGCGAGCCTACGAGGCCTTCGACACCTCGCCGCGGCATCAACAGCACCAGCACTACGGTGCACCCCAGGCGACCTCTTCCGCTTCCTCTCCCTCTTCAGCTCCAGGCGACGCTCTACCTCCAGCCGGCGATTCCCCTCTGCATCTCTTCATGGCACGTGGCGTGTGCCCTCGAGGCAAGTCTGAGATTGATTTTGAGAAGGATGTTGGTATTTCGATGTCCGACGTGTTCACGAGTGTGGAGTCTGATTTGTCAATGCCAGGTGTTCCCCGCGTGCCTGCTGTGCATGAACGTTCTGATGATGAGTTCGGTGTCTCGACGTTTGGTGTGCCTGCTTGATGTGCCCCGCGTGCCCGCTGTACTTGAGAGTCCTTATGAATTGTCGGCGTTTCGGAGTGTGATGCATCTGTCCCTGCTGTACCAAGTGTTTCTGGAAAGGTAGTCGTAGCCAGTCTCACCCGCCGTCCCACGGTTGAAAAAGCTTTCTTGTGCCAACCCTCCATGCCGAATCCAATTGGTAGTGAACAATGGCAGGCCGATTCTGGAGCTAGTGCAGTGATTTCGAACAATGTGGATGCAATGTACAATCTACGCCACTTGGGCCCGGATGAACAATTCATACAGATTGGATTGGAGACTCGGCTCTCATCAAGGTTGCCGCTGTAGAGAGTTTGGACCTTACGTTCCACCAAATCGGAGCCGACGGGAAACAGGAGTATTTGGACGTCACTGCGCCAGAAGTTTTGTTTGTACCCGGGTGTGGTTTCAACCTTTTCTCGATATGGAAGGTGTCTCACAAGCATGAGGTCCGTATCAACCCCAACGGCACGCAAATGATGCACGGAAAACTGCGTTTTATTCGTGGCGTTTCGAGCGATTCCCCTTTTGCACCCGCCTTTCCCACAAATCCCTGCCTTCTATGGACGTTGCGAATGAGAGTGCCCGTGAGAGTTCTTCTTCCTTTGTGGCATCGGCTCTTCCAGCCGCGACGGATTCCGATCTAGAACCCCCCCGTGTGACGGATGCTGTAGCGAATATACTCGGCGAAGATGATTGATGTGTGGGAGAGTGAAGAGTGTGAACGCGCTATGGCTGTGTTGGGTCCGGGGAAGACACCTTTCAATGTCGGCAATGCACAAAAGGTTGTGGATATTAACACGTTCCACAACCGTGCCGGCCACTTGTCCGAACCCATTTTGAGACTGTCCGCGAAGCAGCACGGGATTACCCTCACGGGCACGATGGACAGCTGCCGATGGTGCTTGCCGGCACGTGGGACGAGGGCGTCGGTGCCGAAGCAGGGGGGCGGGTACCGCGGCAAGAGGGCGCCGAACGACGTGTTCCTCATCGACCTCTGCGGCGCGTACACGGCGACGATCGGTGGCCACCACTATATGCTCCTCGGTGTGGACGCCGCCACGGGAGGGATGGTCTGCTACGCCATGCGGCGTAAGTCGGAGGCGCTAGCGGTCGTCAAGCGCATGGTCGTGGATGCCGCCCACAAGGCTGGTACCGTGATCAAGTGCATCCGGTGCGACTGCAATGCCCTCTGGACCAGCAGCGACTTCTAGGAGTTCTGTGCCAGCATGGGGATCGCGCTCGAGTACTCCCCTCCCGGAGTGCAGCAGTACAACGGCGTCATCGAGAGCGCCATCCAGAGGTGCCTCAAGGTGGCCAAGGCATCTCGCCGGGCCGCCAAGGAGCTGCTTGGCCCCGCAGGATTTTCTCGTTTCCGCGAGCTGAGTGTTCGTGGCGATGAGCTCTGGGCGGAGTCCGCAGAAGACGCCGCGCAGAAACTGAACCAGTCAGCATCTCCTTCCAACCCCGGGGGGGCGTCGCCGCAGCCGCAGGAACTCTACACCGGCAAGGGAGGCCCTTTTCGCTTGATCCCGTTCTTCCAGTACGGTTCCATGTGGGAGCGGCCGGCAACGAAAATGGACGACAGGGCCGTGCCGTGTTTTTTCCTCTACGCCGGGGACAACCACGCCGACGTCACCGTTAAGGTGCTCAAGGAGAGGACCGGCCACGTGTGCTACACCTCCAATGTAGCGTGGGCGGCGATCCCGCCGTCGGGGGTGTGTGTGTGCAATGCTTCACCAACCCCCTCCGCGGGGACTCTACCCACGCCCCAGCATCTACCCTTCGAGATCGTCGCTTCGCCGCCGCCTGCTGCTACCGCCGCCGGACCGTCGCTGCCGCCGCCGCCTTCGGGGCCCGCGTTGTGGCCCGCGCCTTCGCCTGGTGCTGATGATCCGCCGCTCCCGAGGCCGTCCGCGTCATCGACATCCGCCGTTCCACCGCCGCCCGCTGCTGCTACCGCCGCCGGACCGTCGCTGCCGCCGCCGCCTTCGGGGCCCGCGTTGTGGCCCGCGCCTTCGCCTGGTGCTGCCGCTCCGCCGCTCCCGAGGCCGCCCGCGCCATCGACATCCGTCGCTCCACCGCCGCCCGCTGCTGCTGCCGCCGCCGGACCGTCGCCGTCGCCGCCGCCTCCGGGGTCTGCGCCGCTGTCGCCGTCGCCGCCGCTCCCGGACTGGTCGTCCTCATCCATTGAGGCTGAGCAGTCCCCGCCGCAACCGCACCAAGACCGGCGGACCACACAGTCGGCGACCGCACCGGGGTACGCACCTCTCACGCCCCATGCTTCGAGACTGCTCGGCGAGGGGGGAGATCCGCGGATCCGAGGACGCACGAGAGCGGAAGCGCGCACCATCGCCCAGCAACAGCTTTCTGCCCTATCGGTGGACCGGCAGTTGCCATCACTGCAGGACGATGCCGTCACCACGCCTCTCCTTCCGACCGAGATCACCATGGGGCTGCTGGCTCAAGCAAACGAAGATGTCCTCCTCTCCATGCTGGATGCTCGGCGAGTCATGAACGGCAAGACAATGCTCCGGTCAGGATTGAAGGGGGGCAGCGAGAAGGGGGACAGAGGCGAGCAGCTCGCGAGGAGTGAGGGCGTGGTAGGGAGCACGGGAAAGTTGCCGGAGGTGGACATCGGCGAGGAGGGACGCATGGGGAATGGTTGGTCGATCGGTCCGTCTGAGCGGGGCGTTCCGCTCGGACTTGTGGCGCGTCTTGCGACGCGCGACGACCTCGACTCAGCTGTGCGCGAGACGGAGCCGCCTCTCTTGCGACCCGACATGCCGCGCTGCCACGCCAAGGACCTCCGAGTACCCCAGACTTTCAAATAGGCAAAGCAGAGCGAATACACCGGACAGTTCATGGATGCGGCCAAGCGTGAGGTGTTTGGATTGCTAGAAGCAGACGCGTTTAAGATTGTTGGACCGTAGCAGCGAATAGACAACTGCATCACGTCGAAGTTGATTTTTGATTGGAAGGTAGATGCGTTCGGCTTTCCTACGAAGGCCAAGGCTAGACTTGTTACGGGAGGAGACATGCAGAAGGAGTTCATTGACTTTGGTGACTTGTATGCACCTACTGTAGTTTCATCTAGTGTTCGTATGTTGGCAGCTTTGGCGTGTGAGCTTGACTTGGAGTTGTGTCACTTCGATATCGACCAGGCTTTTGTGAGGGCTCCTCCAAGAAAGATATTTTCATGCGACTGCCGGAAGGATGTGGTGCGTTGTCAGGGAAGTTAGTGCAGTTGAACAAGAGCCTTAATGGCTTGAGGTAGGCATCTAGAGAGTGGTACGCGCTACAGAAGAAGTGCCTTTTGGCTTTGGTGTTCGAGCAGTGCATGGCTGATTCGTGTGTTTTTCGTTTAGTCGAAGGAGGGGAAGTAGTGTTGCTTCTCGTAGTACACGT